AGATAGATAGATAGATAGATAGATAGATAGATAGATAGATAGATAGATAGATAGATAGATAGATAGATAGATCCTAATTTTTGGTATTTCCAAATTTGGAAGAATAACTGTATTAGATTTTTCTATTGTGTTTATTATTCTATAGACATCCTTTGATCCAGTCCTGCAGGCTCATCTTTTCTATAAAAGTGTTGATCTATGATTCTGGAAATTTCATTCATTATGGCCTATATTTATGATGCTGAGAAAAATGTAAAAGAAAGACTAGATTTATTTAAATCTTGACATATTTTTTTCTCTTCACAAAAATATGTCCTCAGGCAACTTAAACCCATGAGTTTATTTTGATTTTAATGAAGATGAGGAAATTATAGCTTCTTGATAGAATTTTTTTTGCTAATAAGATTATAATAAAATAATAAAATACCTTAATTCCAGGTAATCATCCCTCTCTAACTATATATGCGTTATCATATTTGGAAACACAAAACTATTGGACTAATTTTTGTTTTATAACCCTAATTGTGATGGCTAGATAATAAGCGTAATTTCCTGATAGATAACCAGGAACTCTTCATTGGGATATTAAATACACACTTAACATTTATAGAAAGATAAATTTTGCTGGATGTGTTGCAAATGTTCTTTCAGCAGTTTGATATTATAAGATTAGAAGCAAAGGGCACTTGTGAAATGTTTATTATTATTAGTTAGATGATATAGTTAGAAAAACCTTGGGAGAAATTCTTTCACTTTGGAATTTGGGTTATGTGAGAATAATTCAAAGAACTTATGAGTGAAAATAAATACTGGATAGTAATAGGAATGCACATCTCAAGAATATCTCTATTCACTTTCTTCTCCATCTAATAATCACATAAATGCAGATAACTGGAGCGGCATTAAAATGTCTGTGCAATGGTTTTCAAAAGAACAACTGCCCTGGTTATGTGTGAAAGGGGAAAATAGATGTGTTCCCATTTCTCTTACTCTGCCTAGTATGTAGAACATTTTGTTTACTGATAGTGTTGTCATCACATAGCCAAAACCCATTAGCTTCTTGGCAAAATGACTTCATAATCTTAATTAAATAATCTTTGTTGGAACAACATGCCCTTCAACAAATGAAAAGAACAATTGAGGGGGTGTAGCTTCAATGGAAGTCACAAAACAATGGATAAGGCAGGTATGAGAAACGTGCAAAAATATTAAGTTGCTTTCAGATCCCTGAAATAGCAAATTTGTGGTGAATGTGAGCACTGCTACTTTTTAAAGCAATAAAACAAGTGATAAAACTATTTAAAGTACAAAATATAAGTTTACACTTTTCTACATTTATCCCAACTTTATTATTTTTATAAATATCTCAAAATAGAAAATATATCTAACACTCCTTCCTCTTCCTAGTTTCCACACAACAACAAGCCGGTGAAGCAGATTGGTGGAGAGCAAATTGGCCCAAATTCACCCAGTTGGCTATCATGCCTAAAGAAGCACTATAACTCATAGTCTCCTGATTTATATCCTGGTGCCTTAGCCACAATCTTACACATAAAATCCTGTATAGCATCATGATTTGTTGTTTAATCATGGTTCTGCACCCTGTCCCTCACATAAAGTCGGCATGCTTCCCAAGCATTAACAAATGTCATCTGATGGATTCCCAGAAGTGTGCCTTGTCTGGTTTAGCACTGATGCTCTGAATAGCTTTCCTTGGTGATTTGAACAATTTCTACTTTGCTCTCCTTTCAAGTGTTCCTTGACGATCTGATTTCTCCTAGGCCTTGGGATTGAATAATTGCAGGTTTCCTTTAGATTGTTGTATGTGTATGAAGTCACTTGTGGTTTGTTCTGCTTTGAACTATTGTTTTCTCACATTCTTTTTTCATTATTTTTTATCTCACATAGTTATTTGGAGATATAATAAATATAATAAATAAACTCAGAATACTTACAGGCTATATAAATAGATATAAGCTTACTTCCCAAATAACTTCCCTGTTACACTGGCTTTTATTCACATTTTACTTTAATAAACATTCAAATTTTTGCAATTATAGATTCAAAACCTATAATATTTTTAAATTATTATTTAAATTGATTCACAGCCAAAATTTACAAATATATTCTAAAATTTGGTATTGAATAAGAGGAGTAAATTATTTTAAAAATGTTATATAATACACCTAAAATCACAACTCACTGATGTGTTATTAAAAACATAGCTCTAATAGCCATAGTTAAAAATCTCGTGTAAAACCTCTGTAATTTTAGGATTATCATCTAACAAAAAGAAATTACTCAAAAGAATCTTCTTCTGGTTTTGATTTAAAATAGGCCAAAAGATTTCCTGCCAAAAACTCTTATAAAATTCACAAAACAAAAAAATATGATCCACCATTTCAAGATTGAGATCATTACGGTGACCCTGGACAGTTCCCACAAGATGTAGCCCACAATGCAGCCCCACAAGAGTGTAAATTTTCAACATTATTAGATGATTTTATATTATAAAACTATATTAAATATTTTATATGTGGCCATATAAACATAAATTGTTATATTAGACAATTTCTTTTCACTCAATGCATCTCAGGCAAACTAAAAGTTAAGACAACCTTGTTATAGCATACTCAACAGTAACACATTTAATCTGGCTATTGAAAAGGCTATTTTGTATTTACTTAAATATAAATTATTCAGATATTTTAGGGAGATGAAAAGTATACCTGTAATTAATTCTAAAAGTTAGAACCATCTTTTGAGCCACCAATTCCTTTCTGAACTAACTCATAATTTTTCTTCAACCTAATGAAATTCTAATGACATACCCCTAGAAAATAAATAATACCGGTAGGAATCAATACCAATCTTTGGGTCATCTCTTTACATCATATATAACAACAAAATATTCACTTTGGATTTCCTAAAGCAATTATTCCTTGGTTTTAAAAATATACATTTGCAAACAAAAGTTAATAATGGTTAGTCAACACTTTGTTTTTAAAACCAAGAAAAAGCCGTGGTGGTGCAGTGGTTAGAATGAAGCATTGCAGGTTAATTCTGCTGACTGCCAGCAGTTTGATTTTGGCTCAAACTTGACTCAGCCTTCCAGCCTTCCGAGGTGGGTAAAACAAGAATCCAGATTGCTGGGAGCACTATGCTGATTCTGTAAACTGCTTANAAATACCATGCCCCCCCTCCCCGTTTCAATGGCAGCCGAAGCAGCAGCAAAGCAGAGGCTGACATCTCCTTATCTGACTAGATGGAACAGGCAGATACCCACAGGGAATGGCACTCTGGCAAATAATAGCAGATTTGCTGCTGGAACAAATAGCAATGATTGTCCATGAGGTAGGCATAAGAGATGTGTAAATCCAGACTTCCTGCAAGCCAAATTTCTAATCCCAATTGCCATTTTCTTTGCCTTACAAATCATACAGAAGCACTCTCTTTACTGAGTAGTTTGTTTCTAAAATTAAAGCAGACAGTTGACAAGATCAGTGAGGCAGAAATCAATCAATCTTCTAATAGCTGAGTTCACTTTTACAAGAAAATGAACACAAAGAAAACCCTTTTTAAAATAAAACAAGCAAATGAACAAGCAGCAGAGTACAATAATCAGTGCAGCACACTGGGAAGCAGGCACTGATTTGATAGGAAACACCAAATTTGAGAAAATAAGGCCATTTCCTCCCTGGTGACGTTGCTCTATACCCATCAGCTATCATTAAGACAAAATAAATTCTATCATCACTGTTGTAAATTCAGCATATGATGACTGCAGAAGATGCTCTAAGTTATGGAGGGAAATGGCTAACCAATCTTAAAGCCATTCATGGTACGCCTATCCCAGCAAAGAGCACTAAAAGCAATTGAAGCCGTATTCCTTTTTCCTTTACCCTGCAGAGTTTCCTCAGACACAATCCCATGACTCAGCTTTCTATCCATCCTTGTTCATTTTTTTTGTTTGCCTCACCTGCAGTGTTATTGCTTTTTTGTGTTTTGTTTATTATATGTGAAAGTCTGCTCAGGATCTTTAATAAACAGCTACTGGCTTTCTAATTTGTATATTGCATCTGCTCTTTTCTAAATTCCTACATAGAAGCATTCATATAAAGTTTTGTATCACAGATGGATATAGAGAGGAAATATTGCATTGATAGAATAGCTGCTGCTGACATAATCTTAATTTAAATTAGAAGTTATATTTTGAACTTTTAAATCAGCAGTTCTATTGCAAATGGCATTAAGATAGGTCATTTGATTTGTATAACCATTCCAACTTCTAGATTTTATTTTGCTGCTTTCTTTTCTATATACAGTATATCCATACACCCACCTACCTCAATTGTATTACCAATAAACATCTACACATTTATAAAACACAGAAAAAGGTCATCCATTAAAATTCGTATTCTTATAGTTAGTTTGATCTTTGGGCAATTAAAAATGTTTTCAAAACAGAAGAGTCCTTGAACTAGAACAACTTTTTTACTGGCTAAGCCATTACTAATATTTGGCATTAGCTTACCTCTTCCATAAGAATTATGAAGGTAGTGTTGTAGCCTTGTTCTGTAACCAACTTGCCAGTGGATGTGAGAATATGTAACCCATGGGGAGCTTTGCCTGGACACTGTTCAGGCTTGGCTGCATATTTTTCTTGCAAACCATCTGTGCAGTTATTAGAAACAATCCTCCGATACCTGTGGAATTTTATAATTTCATATTTTAAAATTTCACAAATCTCAAGTTTCATAATTCAGCTGAAGAAATAGAAAGGAAACCTATATTATTTGCAAGCATCCATATCAAACATCTAACAATAACTTCAGGTACTATTCAAGTAGAAAATTCATTAAGCTGCAGTTCATTGCACGTTTACATATTTTCATATCCCTTATTCCCTTGCTATGAGGTCATTTCACCATATCTTTAGTGTGGTGCTACTTTTATATTACTGTATTTAAAAAAAAGAAAAAAAGGGAGAAAAATGAGCTTTTATTTCACTAAGTTCTAACAAAAGTTATACTGTTTTCCTGACACTAGTGTGTCTCCATTTGAACTAACTCAGTACTCTATGACATCACGTTGGCCACATGACTGTGGAAATGTCTTCAAACAGCCTTGGCTCAATGGCTTTGAAATGAAGGTGAGAACCACCCACTATAGCCAGCAACAACTAGCAGTGTAACATCCACAGGGATTCCTTTACCCTTTGTTTTACTCCATTTGAACTAAATCTGGAAAAATTATGCATCTATTTTATTTTGCATCTCCATGAGGTTGCCCTCATCTTGACCCTAATCATGGTAAAACAGATGTAACTTATTCTTAGGTTAGCTGGTATTAAAAGAGTATTTTCCCTTTCAGCCAACAACATCCAATGTTATGCTTCACCAGTCATAATGCTAAAAGCAAAATCAAGTAATGAGTGGAATCATAAAGGCATTTATTGACTATTTGCGATTGATGCAGGTATTTGCCTACAGTCTGGTTCCTGATTTTCCTTCTGTACCATCTTTCTACTTAAGTCAAAACACAGAAGTTCTGTGTGGATGGCTCTGGATTTCTACAAAGCAGACAAATTAGGAAGATGGGGGGATTCATAACATGGGGATTCCTTTTGTGTTCCATTGACAGTCATGTTCTAACTATGTGAAACAGGTTCCTGCTACAAGCTCATTTCTACTCACTATATGAATAATGGATGTCAACATTTTACATCCTCGGTGGAATGGTGAAAGCCATCAGCAGCCAGCAAATTTAATAAGTGGTCTATCAGTATTGGGCAATAACGCCGGTCTGCTCATTTGCAGTAAAGCATTCAGTAAAGTAATAAGTGTTTAAGATTTATGGCCCATTGGAAATTTAGTACAAACCTGCAATAACATAACAGTGGAGGCACAGTATGAATCTGCTCCTCTATGCCCTCTGAAGAGAATACAGAGGAATTTGGCATATGTCCTTTTTATAAAGAAAGGAATGGTTTTGAAACAATTCTAAATAAAATAATTCTACCTCACATATTTATGTTACAGATCTTAAAATAGACAAATATAAAAATAGTTTTAAAACAGATCTTTCTTATTTTTGCTTGTATTACACTGCTGTGTTGTGCCGTTAACTTCCATCTGGAGAGTGTTTAATTTAGCTTTACTTTCTCTAGCATCATTTATGTCAAAATTGTGCAATTTCCAACCCCTGAGGTTGCGTATTGCCCTCAGGAAATTAAGATGCAGGTACCAGTAGCTCTATAAAAGGCTTCTTGAATTGTAATTTTAATGTGACAAAAAGGAGGAATATTAATTACATGGGATAAATCATGTTAATAATTAACTTAACTAAAATTAAATTGAAATGTAATCTAAAGTAAAACAAATTTAGTCTTTGTCTTGGTCTTGCTTTTTATTTTGCCCTCATCTTTCTTTTGACCTGCATTCTCCAATATCATACTTAAAGGAAAAATGCAGCCCACAACTAGAATCTGAATGTATTTATTTAATTCTCATCCATTTTTCTTATTTGCGGGATTTCTGCAAAAGACAGACTAAATGCCAGCTGTAAACTCTGCAAAAGAGGCAGATATCAAAGGAATTTCTACTTACCCAGTGCTGTTCAAGTAGCTCTGGCCAAGACTACATTCTTTCATCTGAGAGGATGGGTTGAACCAGAACGCTGGGATGCACTGATTATTACTGTGTCTTTCATAACCATAGTCACTAATAAAATAAATTTAAAAATGCATATACATTTATTACATCTTCCTACCACAGAGAAAAGAGAAATACATAAAGATTGTTGTTCTCACAAGAACTTTGTGAAATGGGATTAAGAAAAGACTTGCCAAAGGCTATGGCATGAGTTTGTTAGTTCAACAGAGATTAGCATCAAAGCTTCTGGGTCCATATCTAATGTGAGAGAAAACACATAATATGTCTAAGCCAGATGGAAAGAAATAGTGCACAAGTAAGAAAAAAAGGAATAGGGAATATTCTTCCATCCTATTTCCTCATTTACATTTGTCTATGGGTTTCATTCCATCCTACCAAAAAGTCTATTTCTGTTAAGGGCGACAGTTAGAACATGCAAATATTTTAAAAGGAAACTCAGTTCTAACTATTAACTGCTGTCTAGTGTTTCTAACAGCCAAAGTAGAGTAGACCGACATTCCCTTAAAAAAAAAGACACACTATTTACAATATTTTCTTCAAATATTGGAGTAGTGGGTTAACTACATATGGTATATTTTTTATTCTCAGAGAAAAGACACTATAAATGCAGTAATAGATACTCTAAATGGCTATAGCAGCATCATACACCACCCAAAGAACCTCTTATCCTTTTAAAAGGATTTTGAAAGCAATTTTTCTTACATCAAATTTAATGAGAAATTATACCAGAAATACAATTCTTTTCAGCAAAGCACAAATATTAAGTATATTCTCTTTCTCTCTCCCTCTCCCTCTCTCTCCCTCCCTTTCTCCCTCCCTCTCTCTCTCTCTCTCTCTCTCTCTCTCTCTGTGCGCACATTTGAGTGTGTGTGAGAGAGGGGGGGAGGGAGGGAGGGGGAGTAATTTTGTCTATGAATTTAGTTCCACTTTTCAAGTTCTCATATTCAGAGAATCTGCTGTATCCATGTAAAAGGTTTGTCTGAAATTATATGAATTATGTATTTTTAAATCACCCAAAGAAGTGGTGTTTTTAAATCTACTTTCTGGTTATTTTTGGATTGAAATTGTAATTTTTTTTCTGTTTGTGCTTTTTGCCATTTACTGGTGGATGGTAAAATGGTGGTTATTATTTTGTAATTTTACAACAGGGAACTCTGAGACCTTAAATAAATGAATACATTTCTATCTAAAAATATTCAGTGAAATAGTCATTGGAGCTATTCTGTAAAGGGGTAATCCACAACTACTTCATGAAGTACAATATTGATGCATTAACTAATTACACAAAGTATTTGGAGTGGAATTAGGCCAGTTTTTCATAACATCCCTTCCACTAATGGCAATAGAATAACAAAGGATCATGGATTATCTCACACAGGTATGTGAACCATGGTAGACATCGTAGTTAAAATAATTGTTAAACTTCTGTACTGCTTTTAATGCTTTGGTTTTTTTGAGGTTCAAATTTAATCATTCTCAGTAGGTCACCTTTACACAGTTTAAGAATGCCTTGCAGCAACTTAGTAATTAAAATTGTTCATGAGGGGGGTCACATGTTGCCTCAAAGAACAGAAGAGCTGCATTAATATTAAATAATATTAATGACAACATAACTGAAGGCCCTGAAAGCTGCATACTTGTTCATTAACTTCTGGTAAATGTATATTAAAAACTCACATACTGCCCACATTCGCACTTGAAGGCCCTGGGGTTTGTATGTTAAAAATTATGGAGTCCAGCTGCTGCTTCAACTTATTGGAAAAAGCTTCCCTGACAAGGGTAAATAAAGTACTAAAGGGAAAATGAAAACTTCAAGGAAGAAGCGTAGAAAAATTTCATGATTCATTTTTCTGTGAAGCTTGAAAATAAAATCTGTATTATTTTCTGATGTTATGTAATTGTACGATCATTTAGAAGTTATTTTCTTCTCCAACTCACTCCTCAAGAGAGAAGTGGATATTGAGAAGATACTACTTTGTAGACTTTGGAGAGGCAGAAGGGAATAATTAAGATTTCTTTTCGAGTATAAAATGCCAATTAATGGTAAAATGTATTCAGACTGGAAAAAGTCTGTGAAAGCATTCCTATATAAAAAAGAAACAAGTAGTAATGGACAACCTCCTGATACAATACACCAAAGAAAACAATTCACTGACTTATTTTGCAAAGCCCAATCTGAGGGAGAATAAATCACAGTTCAAAACTCAATTGGAACAGGATTATCTTACTGCATCATATTTTAGAAGAGTCAGGCTGAGCAATGTAAGTGCAACTTGATGCCAAGCATGTAAAATAAAAGGATTCTAAGAAAAGTTTATAGTATAGAAACTGGCTAATGTGACTCATGTCTTAATTACTGTCTAGTCAGACTACTGCAATGTGCTTTATTAGGTGCTGCCCTTAAAGAATATTTGGAAAATACAATTGATCTGAAACGCAGTAGTTCATATTCTTTGGGGCTTCTAGCACTGAAAGCAAAATTTTTGCAGACCCTAAATTGGATGTGAATTGATTTCTGGATCTAATTTTTAAGGTGTTGACCTCTGATTTTTTTAGGGCTTGGTGCCTGGGTTACCTCAAGGATCATCTATTCCATCAATAATTGGCCCAACTAATTTGATCTCTCATGGAGAAACTGCTGTAAATCCTACTGTTTGGTGAGGGTCTGAAGTAAGATGGCGTCTTCTCTGTAGCAAAGTGAACATTGCAAAATAGCCCTGTTGTGAAGATCAGACTGGTTCTGTCTTTCTTGGTTCTTTAGATGATTTTAAAAATTGAATTGTTTCAGAAAGTTTCCTTCCGATATGAATATTATGATGTTTTGTTTTATTTAACTTATTTACACATATTGCTACACATTTTAAATAAGTTCGTAATCGTGTTATTCCTAACATGGATATTTTATTTTATTGTTATTGTAGTTTGTCTTCATTCTATTTAAGCTGCTGAGACTCTCTTTGGATTGTGATGGCATACAAATATATTTAATTGATAAATCTTACCATTCAAAGTCCCACTCAGCACAGATGCATGGTTCTGAAACCACTGTTCTTGAGTAATCTTTAGATAATGCGCACCATGCCCCTGATTTACGTTTCTTATAGATCTTCCTTTCTCCCATGACACAAGGTTCGCCCTTCAATGCAGAAGAATACTGAGTTGGAATAACATGTACTATTGTGTACAGGTTAATTATACAAGGTGCACAGATTCTTAACTTTCCATACTAAAGCTCCTTACTTTGAAAGTTGAGTCCTTACACTATCATTATAGAAATAAGAACCAAGTACAATTATGTGGCAATTGAAAGTATAATGAAATACAAGGATAATAGGAAAACACTCTGATGAAATTTTGCCTATTGTCAGCCCTTCAAAGTAGCCCACAATGAAAAACAGCAAGATTGTTTTGAATTTCTTTATCACTTTTCCATTTTTCTAAGTGATATTTCTGGCAAGTCTCCCCTTAATGTCTCATTCTTTCTTTCCCTAAGATACATTTGTCTACAATTTGGCTTTAAGGTGAATGCAGAAACCAAGCCCTCCCCCATTATTTCCTTTCTTCCCTGTAGTTCCATTTCATTTATGTGACTACTTCTGAAATTTTGTCACTCATAACTTTGTTTTTCTGATCATATTAGTCCACTCAGATAACGTAAGCAATTATTTGTCTGACATTTTGTGAGCAGCCATAGTTAATTTTATAGTATTCAGATTTGCATTGTTTCTCATCTTTCAACCTAACTAAATCCTGTAACTTATATTCATCAATTTATAACAACACGTAGCTAGGAATAGTAGTTCATCTGGGAGACAGAAACATACAGTAGTTCATATATTCCTACCTGGTTGTGTAAATGCCATGACTGGAAATCATCCTTGGTACATCTTCTGCTAAAGATAGATTTATAATCCACTTTTACTAGTTGCCATTCAGAACGGAGATTGAGATGGCCAAAGATTCTGAATATTGGTGAAAGATTAAAGAAAAGTAAGAACGAGAGAGAGAGAGAAAGAGAGAGAGAGAGAGAGGGAGGGAGACAGAGAGAAAGAGAGAGAGAGA